ATGAAATTCTCATTCTCACAGGCCAGATCTATGTAAAGGCTTCTTTGGTTGGTATCAGGAAAAGATCATATTTTGTGGTAATATGGTCACCTGAAGTCAATATTTTACTACAGTGCAAAGGAAGTTTTTAACTGGAAATAATAAAGCATGTTTATTGTACTCTCCTGCTCTTTTATTTATGGCAGGAGTGTCAAACTCTTCAATGGAGAGGTCTGAATTATGTACTCGGAGCTCGGGTATCAATTCAGGGCTTCTCACTTCCCCCGCTTCACACACTGCTTCTACCACACAGACAGCCAGGCACAACAGGATCTTTATCGAATAACAGCTCTTTTAGAGGGAGAATGTGCCATAGCAGCACACCACAAGCATTTCATCTCCATCCCCTGCTCCCTCGTGGTCCACCCGGGAGCAAACAACTTCCTCCCACACTGTGATGGCTTCTTTCTGCTGCAGGGAAGCAGAAAGCTTAAGCGCGCTGCAGAAGTGCAAACTTCCCAGCGTCGCAGCCCTACCAGCAGGCTTTTCTCCCTGGCCCTGGCACAGGATGGGGGAGTCCGCTGGGACGTGCAGAGAAGTTCAGCCCAAACTCACCAAGGGCAGCAACCTGTGGGGAACACAGAGGGGAGGGCGCCGACTGCAAGAAGGAAGAGTTTAATGGTATACCAAGACCTTTTTCTGCATGCACATGGCCTTCAGCATCATTGTAAATAACACTCTTAATAAAGAGCCAATTAGCCTAACAAACTCATTACTCTCCAGCATACAGTGTAGGAAGGACTAGCCTATGGCATAACTGAGCGAAGGTGCATTCTCGGCTCCACATTTCCTGCTATAACGTATGTAGGCATAAGGAGGCCTAAATAGACGTGCAAAAGATAAAAAGCACGGAGAGCTGAGAGAATGGCATGCAACCTTATAAAGAAGGTGCCACGGCCTGGTGCTTTGCATCAACCCCCATTAACAGAACCCAGACCAACACGCTGCAATAACCCCACACACAGGTCCTGAGCACCGACTCGCCAGCTGGCTCTGCCGTAGCCTCCCCGGTGCCAGGCTCAGCGCTGGGGCAGGGCTCTGCGCAGGGCGGGAGGGACTGTGGCGTGGGGACAGCACAGGCTGACAGTCAGCACCAGTGCTGGAGGCAGGACCGCAGGCTTTCCGCAGAGCGGTGAGTGAGGATGTCGGGAAATGGTCTGAGCCGGGAAGGTGGGGGATGAGGGGAAATCTGGACATTGTGGATGTCTGTGATTTCTTGAGAAAAGAGCTCAGGACTGGAGACGCTTTGCCTAAATTGCACAAGTGACGTTTGCACAGAGACTGTTCATGCTATGTGTAGCTCATGCTAGTATGGAAATTCACAGAGAATTACTGCAGGGCATCTAGTGACAATGCAGTAAGCAGTTGTTAAACAAAACACCTTTGTCTTACATCCGTCTCTCAAACCTTGGGCTTCCATTTTTCCTTCACAGAACTGAAAAAAATATCACGCAGGCTGATTTTGGAATAGCTCGCATGTAAATCATCCCCTTGGGCTTGGGCCTCTCATGCTGGGGTTCAGCCTGAGTGACTTTTTATAGCTGAGTTATAAACTTTTAAATGCCAGACTTAATCAGAGCTACTGAGATGGCCATTACAGGAGTGGTTTAAGTGGCAGAGCCCTGATATATGATAGCACAGAAAGAAGGTAGGTGGCTCATCCGTGGTGGGCAGTCCATCTGGAAGGGAGCAGGGTCTGGTGTCTAGAAGCAGGCACAACTGAGACACAGATCTCTTGAGTTTGCTCTTGCCCTTGTGCTACTGCTCAGTGACCTCCAGCAAGTTCCCTTGGGCTATGCTGCCCTGAGGAGACAGGTGTCAGACCAAAACTTGAAAGGAAAATGTGGGTCACGGTGCCCTGGTTTCCCCAACATGCTAACGAGAATGCAAATATGTACCTGCCTCCCCTAGGGAAGTCACAAGAATCCTTGGCAAATTGGCCTAGGGTTAAACACAGTGTTGTGCAGATTCAAAACATGCAAATCTGAAAACTTCATTTATGGCTGACTTCTTAGAGCAACTACCCACAAAATCATACTGAATAATTATAATCACAGACATAGCAGACACTGAAAAGTCTAAAAGACTTTAGGATCAGGCTTAAGGGGGACTAATGTCACTTTGCTCTTAAAAGGAGGCTCTGCAAAACTTTGAGCCCCCTCATTTTGCAAGTTCTGAGACACCCAGCAGGTTCCAGCTGTGAATCTGAGAGCCTCCCCCACTCTGCAACATCTTTGTGGTCTAAGCTGAACTGGGCAGTCATCAATGTGAGAGCAGATGCTTGGATGGAGAAATTGATCTGAATGAAAACAGTACAGAACTTTTTGGGGTCTTCTTTCTAAATTTATTCAAGTATTAAACGAACAGAAACTACAGCATGCATCAGATACTTTTCTTTATTGTACAACAAAACTATGGACTTGTTTGCATTTGCAGCATTTCCAGCAACATCAGGCAGACTTGTCGATGTTATCCAGTTTTGCACAGTCACTAGAGTGTCGCATCATGAATTATTAAATCAGTGCTTCGTGGTAATACATAATTTCTTATCAATTATTCATGCTAATGTGCGTGTAGTTTACTTAATTGTGTTATTGACGATCAAAAGTAATTTCCTGAAAATCCTCAAGGACAGAAAATTTAATCAGCGTAACTACTTTTCAGATGCAATGCTGTTAAGTATTCTTAATTTGCTCAACAATTCACTTATTTATGTACCTTTCTGGAGGAAATACGAGTTTAATCAAACAATTAGATTGAAGAGTTAGTGTACAGAAGGGCTGAAGTTCAACTGAATGCAAGGTAATTATGTTGAAATGAAGTTGGGCCTGCCTCTTCGGAGTGGAATTTTTTTTTTTAGTCTTTTTTTTGGAGAGGGGGGCACAAAAAAATTCTGATTGGGAAGATCACTAAGAAAACAGTGATTCTGTCTTCTCCAACCGCTCCCCACAACAAAGCACACAGCAATTTTTGTTTTATTTTGGTGGAAGAAAAAGGTTGTTGCTGTTGTTTAAACTAAGCCATGATTTGCAGCCAGGGAAGCCACCTCCACCTGCATTTCAGCAGAGCAGCTCGTGAAGCTGGAACACAAAGGCAGATCACAGACTACTGTGTATTCCCCCCTGCAATTATGACAGTTCAGGATTGCCAAAAGAAACACAGTATGGCAAAAATAAGGCAAAATGACTCCATTTGATGAATGTGGGCCCTGTCAGACTTTTCTTTGTACTTGGATCCAAGGACAGACCCAGCAATGTCCCCTCTGATGGCTTGTGTCCAGAAGACACAAACCCCACCCTGGGGGAATGGCTGGCACCCTTCACTCCAGGAGCAATGAAGGTGCTTGGTGCTGCCAAGCCACCCCCTGAAGACCAGGGCTTCCACCCTTTGGATGGGTGCTGACACCAAGCCCTGCCTCCAGGAAAGAAGCTGTGCACCAGGGGGTATGAGAGGGTCCTGCAGAGAAGTCCCAAGTTCTGTGAGATTAATGGGCTGAGATCACTTAGGTGGGGGAGAGAAATTTTTGCTGCCAAGCTTAGGCGGGACTGCCTTTCCAAGCACATCCCCAAGCTCAGATCCTGTGAGAAGCTGGCCACAACCCCCTGTAAAAGCATGTGCTCAGCACATTGCAGGAGGTCCTCAGCACAACGTGCAGGATCAGAGCTGACAGGAATCCTTCTACTAGCCTCCACATTACTTGGTCAAGTCTCAAAGCAGTGGTTTCACCCTGTTGTCCAGGGACATCTGTGGACAAGCCTAAGGAGTCTGCAAAAGGCACCTGAGAAAAGCAAGTCCTTGTCACTACGTTTAAATCTGCATATGCATTTCCCATGGAAAAAATGTGGGGCATCCCAGATTAAAATGCCTGCTTTAGAGCATCAGATCTTAGTCTGCTTTGCTTTGGGGCGTTTTGGGTCAGAGATAAGACTATATTTCCTGAGGCATCAATTTCTCCTTTGCACTGTGCCCATTCTGTAATAATTAAGACATTTTCATATCTAGATTCATTACGACAAGCCCTCAGTGAATGGAATAGTCTGATTTTGGATGGCATAAAGGAATATCCTTCCAAGCTTTATTTCCTCTTTATTAAAAACAAAACATGCAAGGACATATTTGCAGCATTGCAATGCAGGAATATTTTGGTTTCCAGTCTTTCTTTCCAAGAGAATGACACTAAAATACCCCCAGCTTTGTGCAGATCTAGACTCAACTGCACCCTCCATTAAATACCAGTATTACCATTTGAAGCTATGAATGCTGCTCTGGAGTCATGTGTCTTTTATGTCTAACCCAGGGAATGGCAAGAGTAACAGACTAATGTTCACCTAGAGACTAGTGCAAGGATTTTATTCACGGCTTAACTGATCTCAGCAATTTCCCAGTAATCTACTCCATGGAAAGTTTCACTTTTGGGCAAAAGTAGGGAGAAGGGGAAAATTAAGAAGAGTTTCATTCTGTTTTCTGCTTTTCTTACACCTGGCTTGCCTGGGATAGATTTGCTTGAAGTCAAATCAGAAGACAGCAGGACAAATTGGTATATACCTGCATATTCCTTTACCTTTGCTGTGTGCGGCGGGGTAAATGATGCCTGGATGCCTCTCCTGCCCCGGACCTTGTGTCTGGAAGTGCTGCCCTGCTGCCAGCCCTCCATCTCATGTGGGATGGGAAGCTGAGACGAGCAGGAGCAAGCCAGGATCGTTTCAGTGTCCCTGGGGTGTGAAGGGGGGCTAAAAACAGTTTCACGAACGTTTCCAAACACAGATAGTGCCAATAAATCAGGGGAATGAACCTACAGTGGCGCAAGAAAAGCAAGGGTGTGTGAAAGGCAGCCAAAGAGGCCACTCAGATTTGCCAGGTCCCTGGTGGCCCCATGACATCCTGCTGGGGCACGGCCATGCTGCAGTTCACCCCAGCGGTGGGTCCCTGCGCTGAGCTGAGGGGCCGGCGCCGGTCCGGTCTCATACGCTCTTCTCCCCTTCCATGTGCTCCTTGGATGGAGAGGGCTGCTTGTCCTGGCTGCCCTCGGGGCCGGGTTTGGTGGGAGGAGTGGGGCTGCTGCTGGTGGCGGGCAGGAGGTTGGCAGACTGGAGCACAGCCTCCGAGTGCTCCCGGGCCTTCATGCGCAGCGCGGCCACGCTGGCGGTGCGGTTGCTTTGGCAGCCGTAGGTGGGCAGGAAGGAGAGGCCCATGGGGTCTGGAACGCAGCACGAGCACAGCGGGCTCCCTGGGGAGGAAGGAGACAAGGCACCATCACTGATGGGGAAGGTCATGGGGACCGTCTGACTGTTGCCTCCACGGTCAGTCTGGAGAGGGTAGAGATGGGGTTGGACTCTCGAATGGCAACAAATCCCTCCCCTGTTGACCTTTAGTGGGTACATAGATGTTCTCTGGATCAGGGCTAGAAAAGCCAGATCCTGTTCTGCTGAGGCCCACTGTGCAGGATCTTACACTGTGAGTCATCCAGGGTGACAAACAAAGTGAGGGAGGGCCAGCAGGCAGAAGCAAGCAGTGAAGTTTAGATCACACATGACATTTCCCCACAAGCGAGGCTGAGCTCGTCCCCTGCATCTTATACCAAGCTGCTGCTCTGTGGCTACTGTCAGCCCCATGCTGGAGGTGTCCCCTGTCCTCCACCTGCACACTGAAGCCTGATCAATTTGGGCAGCTGCATTTGGTGGGGGTCCCATCATTTATCTACACCTGAAAGATGACTGCAGAGAGAAAGGTGAAAATATTCTTTCTGGTTATTATGCAGGAATTAATGACCCTCTCCTATCTCACTGTAAGATGAGATAGGCTTCTCCTTGGCCAGGCCCATGCCAACTATTGGCATCATGCCTACCTGCAAGGGTCTGTTCTGCCCTCACCCACCCAATGTCTGTGTTGCTTAAGGATGCCACCTCGAAGAGAATGGCCCCCAGAAGAGAGCCAAGGCCACCTAAAGCTGCTGCTGCTGACACAGCTTAAGAGTCCCATCAGGAGAGACAGGCCAGACCATCTCTACCCTGTCATCTGACACACATGGGCTGTTCTGAGCAGGCAATAAAACACTGGAGAGAGGGTGAAATGGGTATTCCTCTCCCTTTTAAGCCAAAAGGCTCCCCTGCAACCCACTCCAGAGGCAGTCCTGACTCCACCAGCTGCTTCCTGAGCTAGACCACTGCAGGCTCTTCCTCTAGCTTATCTTCGATAATGCTGGGACCTGGACTAGTCCCCAAACAAGCACACCTGGAAGTGTAGGTTGACCACGGGGCAGGACATGTAATCCATCCCAAAAGCCACCCTGGTACCTAGCTTAGATGCATCTATTGAATGAAGGAGAATGTGTCAGAGGAGTAGGGAGGGGAGGCAGCGTGGAATGGCTGAGCTACTACTTTAATTTGCTCTCTGGTGAGAAACATTGGGTGACACCATTTTTCCACAGGTCTCAGAAGCCACGCAAACTCCACATCCTCTTCTACGTCCCTGGCAAAAGTCTGTCCTGTGCTGATATGCTACCTCCCAACAAGAAATAGCCGGGCTGCACACATCTTGACATGATGCAATGTCTTCCTCTGATCTTTCCAAGCCAAGGACTTGCTTTAATTTCTGCAGTTAATATTTGAGTTAAATGGCTCATGACTAAGTGATGGAACTAATAACCTGCAGGGAGCAGGTAGTCTTTCTTTTACACTTCTGCTCTCAGTAGCAACGGGTCAGCACCCATCTGCTAGGGATGAAGGCAGACAGTTGTTTGTTTTTAGGATGTTGGCAAGACTTCTACACAGCAATTGTCAGAGATTAGCAGCTTGCGGGTAACATTCAGGAAAAAGTACTCTTGGCATTTTAAAAAACAGAATCTACAAGGGACAAGTTATTAATGTACCTGGAAAGTCTTCTCTTGTAATACTCCTCTGCTAGAGCATATGATCAGCAAACCAACATTTCCATGGGTCCAGGCATTCAAATGAATTGCACGAGCAAGTTTCAGCACTTGACTAAAATCCTCCATTTTTTGCTTTTAGCACTAGGAAGCCCAATCTTGAATTCTGTGGCTGCTTTGAGCAGGTCAGAGGAGGGTTTATAACAAAATCCACTCAGTAACACAACCAACCAGTGCTACCACTATCCATGCTCATAAAATCATTTTTTGCCCTCTTGAATCACAGCCACTTCAGGGGTCCTAGATGGCCACTGTTTTAACAAGAGGGAGGAGAGGAAGATTGGCACTTCAGAGTCCCTACAGTTTGCAGCAGGTCTTTAGCTGCAGAAGCCACACAGAAGTCTGCTTTTTCACTACTATTAAGCCCCACTATCTTAAGGTTCAGCTCTGAAATGGCGAAGCACGGAGGCCTGCCTGTGCATCGGCTTTGCACTGCTGCTTTCTAATGCAACCTGAGTGAGACTTTCAAACACGGCTGTTCAGCTCCCAGGCTGAGGGGAGGGCTGGCCCGTCTGCAGTACCTAACGCAGGACTGAGCACAGACATTGTCTGCTTAGTGGGAGGTGGGGGAAAGTGGAAGAGGGTCTTCCCCTTTTCAAAAGAGCAGGAATCAGCTCCATCCCCTAAGAATAATTTTCATTCCATTGTTAGAGAGGGATAAAATATTTATCAGTCTTCAGTACCAATCTAAGCTTGCTTAATAATTAGACCTGATATTACCTAGTGGCTCTGCAACCTGAGGGTGCAGTTACCTGTGGTGGAAACTAGGCTACCTCTAGCAATAATTCACCCATAAACCATTCCTTTAATCTTCACTGAGGTTAAAACACTTGCAAAGAACAGCTCACGCCCCCCAAAAAAGTAAAGTAACGTGTCATTTGCTCCAGGGTCCAGCTAGAATACAGGAAAGTAGAATTTAGCTCCATTTCTTTTTAATGTAGGTTGTAAGGAAGGTTGAATCTACTTTGCAATTGCTTGTGTCTGCAGGTAGTAGGTCCAGTGAAATCTGCCGGACTTTGCTGACACAAAACCCATGACAAACAATGGGAGACTCAGGAGCTCAAGGTCTCCTCCTGCCCGTCAGTCAGCCCACGATGGACAGGGATGTGACTTTCACTGAGAAAGAGGCAGACATCAGTGGGTTTTTACATCATATTGCAGTAACCCTGAGTCCACAGTGGGAAAGGAAGGAATCGTTCCCAGTTATTTCAGATCCTCAGAGGAGTTTAGGCACCTAGCTCCCATCAAAATCAGTGAGGGTTAAGCTGTTAGCCCTAGATCTTGATCCAGCTTCCACTAACATCTATGACAGTCTGATATTACTTTAATGCCATTTGGATAAAGTTGCTACAATACGGACAGGGTACCATTTTCTTTCTTTCAGGAACTTACTGCCTCCTGTACACAAAATTAAAATACACAATTAGATTTCCATTAACTTAGAGCAAATTCTGCTGAATTGATCTGAACCTCCTTGTATTCCTATATGAGATCATACTTTAAATGCTTAGCCTGAACATAAATACTTAATGTAATAAATACAGTCTGAAATATTTGATCCACTTGGCAGTTTAATTGATCTACTACAGAGACTGACAGGAAAAATTAAATTAGTTCTGTCTTGTCTCTGCCAACATCACATTTCAATTGTAACAATATTTGATCTACATTTTTGGTTGTGGACTCTTCTGTGCAGTTCCAAGGTTCAGTTTCAGCTGAGAAGAGTGGGGTGGGAGCAGGGCCCTTATTGATACATAAGTATCAATATAATATATAAATAAATATATATTTACTATAAATATATAAAAATAAATATATATTTTAATATCTATTTTGTATTTCAACTCAACAATTCAAAAATTTAATAGATGGCTTTTCCAAAGGCAAAACCCCAACTCCTTCCCTCTTTCAGTATTTGTGCATATCAGCATTTGATATGGACAGCTGAACAGCAGCTTGACACAGATGGAAGCAAGGAAAAATTCCCATTTAAAATCCTCACCTGTCAATGCATGCTGTTTAGTTTTCAGAGGAAATATTATGCTTGATTTAAGCATTGTTTTCTTCTGATAGTAGTCACATTGGTTTGCTTGAGCTCTAAAGCCTCATAAACTCTGAAATCACTTTCACAAGGGTTAGAAGGTCAACAACAACTTCAAGTTCATAGTGTCATTTACCCATGAAAGGTGATTCAAAAAGGGAGCTCCCTCTTGCTCTTCATATATGATGCCAACACTCTGTCTATTAAAGCCTAAGGCAAAAGCAGGAAAAACAAAAGTGTCTTTATCCAAACCTTCTTGAGCTCTGAATCAGGAAGTTCAGAAGAACAACAAAGGCATGAACTTAAAGCCTGAAATGGAGAGGCACCAGATGCTCCAAGTATAATTTAGGGTAGCCTGAAGGCTGCTAAGTTGTGGTAGATGGTTCTTCCTTCTAGTGCCTAAGCTGGTTAACTGTGGAAGGCACTCTGTGCTGCCCAGAGGCTGGAAGAGCACTCCAGAGCTGACAGCAGAGTCCAAATGTTATAATTTCACATCTCCTTGGCTTGTGAACCCTATATGTCCAATGAAAACAACAAAGAGCTGGTGATCTGACTCAGTTGCTCTAGCAGGAGCCTTTTATGTAAATAACTCAACACTGGAACTGGAGGATTTCATCCTCCTTTATTTGTGCCATTAGTACTGTTCCAAAAAAATAATTCAGAAGCCAGGACCTTTCCTGTTTGGACAGGAAAGTTGGCAGCAAAGCCCACAAGACCTGGGAGAACAGAACTAGTCCTTTGAATACTGTCAGCTCAGCAACCATTTACCACTCTTCCGTTCCACATCAAAAATATGATCTGACCCTAAATCCTGCTGACATGTGTCACTCCAAGAGGGGTCAATAGAAACGCCTGCCCAGCTAAGGTCCACTAACCTAATCAAGGTTTGTCCTGGAGGAACAAGCCAGCACCCATTTCCTTCCCATGGCTCTTAGGGTTCCTAGTATCTGCATATTCCCTAATATTTGTGATAAAGAATAAAAAAATCTACCTGCAAGGTAGGACAATGCTAGAGTCAGGGACCTCTGATATGGAAATCAAAGTAATTTGCTTAAGGTCTGTGCATCTGCAGCAAACTAAAGAAATATTTTAGATTCTCTAAAGTCACAGTGACAGGTAAACTACGGAAAATGCCAAATAGAACCCACTTGATATATTTGCTATATTACATGAGAAAAGTCAGTAAGTCCATAATCAAGAATGACAGAGAAAATAAAGGACCTCTAGAGTTTTGAGTCCTGTTCCCCAGTCTTACAGTAAG